GGGGCCCCACACAGAGGCACCTTTCCTGGGGTCCCTCAGATGCGCACCAGAGCCGCCTGGCCCGGGCATCAGGGGAGGGTCCCCGGCAGACACAGACTGAGATGCTCTGTGATGAGAGCTGCGCGCCCCGGGCTCAGGAATCTGCCGCTTCCCACCTGAAGCTCCAGAACTCACAGCAGGGCAGTGAGTACTCATGACCTGGGGAATGGCCTTGGTTAAATCCCACCCTGGGGGCAGCTAGACGGAAACTGTCCTGCCATGGGGAAGCCATGCCCCTTATCTGCCCTCCCTGCACACACTGGGCACACCTGTTGGGTGGCAGCTACCTGTGTCACTCCAAGGCACCTGCTCCCCAACTTTCCCCTGACCTGCGGGTGATTCTCCAGCTTCCTCCACCAGCCATTCCAAGACCCAAGCATGGAAGGCTCCAGAAGGTGCTACAAGGCCACCTGTACCAATGGCCACACCAGGCCCAAATAAATCAGCCTCCCATTGGCTGAGTGTCCCCTATCTGGCTGGAAATCTAAATTTGGGTGATTTCAACAGCATTTTCTTTTCTTTTCTCAGTCTTGTTCTCATCCATCAGGCTGTAGTGTAGCGGCGTGATCTTGGCTCATGGCACCTTCTGCTTCCCAGGTTCAAACAATTTTCCTGCCTCAGCCTCCCAAGTAGCTGGGATGACAGGCACCTGCCACCACGCCCAGGTAATTTTTGTATTTTTAGTAGAGATAGGGTTTTACCATGTTGGCCAGGATGGTCTTGAACTCCTGACCTCATGCGATCCGCCTGCCTCAGTCTCCCAAAGCCTTCAACAGCATTTTAAATGGAAAATGCAGCTAAATTTTTGGATCCAAAAGTTAAAGTGGTTTCTTGATACCCGTATGAAAACTCCCAGGGCCACGCCCACTTGGTCCCTAGCAACTTGCCCCACCCCACCTACTCACCTCATGCTAGAGGGTGGCTCTGGTGACGGCTCTCTGTCTTACAGACCTTAAAGCTGGTAGGATCACGCATAAAGCTGGGAGGTTCCCTGCCGCTGTCTGCCCAGGGCTGACCCTCGGTACCTCCGGCAGGAGGACTCACCATTCCTACAGGCCGACAGCAGCCCGTGTGGTCACTGTGGCTGTTCCAGTGGAAGAAGTAGGGGCAGTCGCCGTGCTCCAAGGTAAACTGCTGGCCCCGGAAGTCAGGGTGATCGAAGCAGACCAGGCTCCGCTCTCCACGCGGATGGAGTTCACTCGGTTCATAAAGCCCCAGCCCTGGATTTGACACAGTCCCCGAAGACCTCCAGCTTCCGCCCTGTGAAGTGCTTGCCCTCATAGAGTGATCTAGAAAGGGCAGGTGACAGAGCTCAGGGCTAGAGGCTTCTCTCCTTCAGTGTTGGATGGAGGCTGGTGCTGGGGTCCCAACACCCTCAACGGAACCCCTACTTCCAGGCCCCCAAAAGCCCAGGCCTGCTGCACACAGTAGGTGCCCAACACGACTTGCCAACTGGGCAAAAGAATGAATAGCTGGTGTGCTGGTGCCATACACAGCTCCCGTTCCTCCCCACCCCAGGAGCTCGCAGTGGGGCAGACTAATTTCAGTAGCTGTGTGGGGACAGGGAATGTGGCCTTGGAGACTGAAGGCTTCATGGGAGTGGCCAGGTTGGGGGCACTGGGGAGGGAGAGGGAGAGCCACGTTTCTCATCCTTCCTGCACCACGCAGGGCTGGAAGAGGGCCCCTGAGACCTTCAGGGAGGCCTGGGCACCAAATGGATTCGGGGGTCCCTCAAATCTCCACATTTTTCAGAGAAACCAGCCCTAAGTGTCCCTGAAAAGACCCTGGAGAATAAGAGCCACAGAGAGGCCAACCTTGGGCAAAGACGTGCTGCAGTGGGGCTGAGGGCAGAGTGACAAGCCAAGCCTCTCCACCCCGAGGAGCCCCCAGGGGGTCTGAACACCCTTCCTGCTCCTGACTGGGGGGCGAGGGATTGGGACCCCAGAAGGAGGGAGTGGAGTTGGAGACCTTCCTATCCACCCACACCAGAGAGGCCCCAGGCCAACAATGAGGCCGCCCCATTTATGAGAAATGAAACCAGCTTCCCGTGGGCTTGTCAGCCAGCAACGGTGTGCACCCTCCCGCAAGTTTTCTGGGGGTTGAGGGACACACTCACCTTTCCCGAGCGCTGCGCCACGGTGCGCCCCGCCCTGCCCTCGGGTCCCCGTTTATACCGGGCATCGTTCTGCTGGCTCAGTGCCGCCCTGGACAAAAGATTTGCTGGGCCGGCCCCTGCGCGTTAGCCCTGTCGGGTCGGGCATGCTAAATCTGAGGGGTAACCTGGCTGCTGGGACCCGCCGTGGCCACACTGTGCCACCGCACTGCAGCCCACCCTGCCTGGGGTCTGCATTTAGCTCCCAGGCCTCCTTCCTCCCTGAGCCCTCCTGCTCAGCCCGAGGTGCCCCTGCACTGCCCTGGAGTGGTTGGGGAGAAGGGGGTGTCTCTCCAGACCTCCGGCCTTTCTTCCCCTGTGCTGCCCCTCACCCCTCAGGCCTGTCTCCCTCCTTCCTCCCAAGGCCTGCTCCGAGCTCCCCAGCCCACTCCCCTTTCTCATGTGGCTGCTCGCCTTGGTGCCAACTTGTCTCCACGAGTTTGCAGCCCAAGCTTCCCCGGACAGACAGACAGACAGACAGCCCTTGACCGCCCCTCTCCCGGCCGCTCTGAGCTCCCAGCTCCCCACCTTAGACATCCTGCTCCAGCTCACCCAGCCCAGCTGCCCCCACCCCCCAGGACACCATACCAGGCCTCCCTCTCCTCCCACTCTCTTCCTGCTGCCTCGATCCCTGGCACGCTCCCTCCCTGGGTCCCTCTCTCCTTGAAGATCCTGCCTAGGTGCCCAGGTGACTCGCGCTGTCCTGAGCTGGGGGCACAGTGCTCTGCCCCCTGCCTCTCCGCTGCACCAGCCAGACCACCCTGGACGCCCAGGATCTGTTCACAGCACAAAGCAGCCCTGCCGAGGAGGGAGAGCTCCCCAGGGCCCGGAACGAAGCACCTGGCAGAAGGCAGAGGCTCAGGGGTTGTGGAGTGAGCAGAGTGAACTGGGTGTGCAGCCCCCAGGCGGCTGCGGAGGTGAGCTATGAACACGGCCCCTGGCTCAGAGGGCTGGGGTGGTGGGGGACAGGCCTGAGATCAAAGGAGAGAGGGGCAGGGGCTCCGCAAGGGGTTCTGCAGGAGGGGAGGGAGGAGCTTCAGGGAGCAGTTTGCTGCTCTTCCCTCAAACAGTAGAGTATATTTTTATGAGCATTTCACAGATGAGATGCTGAGGCCCAGGAAGAGGAGGTTATGTGACCTTGGGGCAGAGGGTTGACCTTGCCTCTGCTTTGGGAGGTTTTCAAAAGCAGATAGGGCACGAACCAGGACCTGCATGTCCCCCTTGAACCCGAGGACAGTCTTCCCCAGGGACGCCCCCCAGCAGGCTGCCTCCACTGGCACCCCCACTCGCCAAGCCACACATTCCAGTGTTTGTCTCTGGACGTGGGCCCTGGTGGGGACACAAAATCAAAAACAAAATCTCCTGCCAACCCAGAAAACTTCTTCACGAAGGTAGAAGAAAAGAAAACAGTTTTACTGTTGAATAAACTTTAAACTGGAATGTGATCCGCATCACCCTGTCTCCCCTCAGAGATCACAAAGATGGAGCGAGAGCTCACTCTTATGTGGCCAGGCAGACATAACCCACTGCATTCGTGTTTTCAGGATAAAATTGCTAATCTTCTCGTATCTTTATGGCTGGAGGTGGGTTTTGCAATTTGGAGTCAGGTGACAGCTGAAGTCAGGCTTCTCAGGAAACGGGAGGGGGGACACCTACCTCTTGATGTCAAGTCTCAAAGAGATGGCCCTGCCTCCCAGAGGAAACATTCCTGAGTGGTTAGATTGGCAAGAGGCTTGTTTTGCCATTAAAAAGATTTACACGCATTTGAAAAGGACAGCGAAAGAAATTCTGCAAGAAAAGGGGGAAAGGGACGCCTCTTCCCTTATTTCCAGCCGGGAAAAGTAAGCCTTAAAAAAAGGTTTTATTTTTTAGAGCAACATTAGGTTCAGGCTGAACTCGGCAAAAAGTACAGTGAGTTCCTGTATGCCCCCTGCTCCTGCATACACACACACACACACACACACACACACACACACACTCACACACACACATATATACACACACACTCACACACTCACACACACACATACACACACAAACACACACACACAAACACACTCACACACACACACACAAACACACACACACACACACTCACACTCTCACCACACACAGCCTCCTTCACTATCAACCTCCCCATTACAGTGGTACATTTGTCACAACCAATGAACCTATGTCACACATTGGAACACAGGATGAGAGAGAGAATGTTGCATAGACTTTGTTAAAAATAACACATTTTTAAAGCCTCCCCACATAATGTAGTTGATTTTTCACAATTTACTGCTCTTTGTCCAATTCAGTAAATAAGTGTTTGACTCTAACTTTTTCTTTGGGTCTTCATCTCCTCATAAGGGCTCCTCTGCCACATAAAACTTGTAGAAATAAATTTGCAGGGCAGGTGCAGTGGCTCACTCCTGTAATCCCAGCCTCCCAAAGTGGTGGGATTACAGGCATGAGCCACTGCACCCAGCCAAAATTCATACTCTTAACTGATCAGATTATCTGACATTTAGCTTTATTTTTCTTAGATAACTGATATTCAGCCTTTTTTCTTTTATCTTCAACTAAGAGTATGAGTTTTACCAAGCATTATATTTATGCTTATACCAAAATATCAAGAAAAAAATAACAGTAATTTAACCTTAAAGTAAAAAAGAAGAAAACAACAAGCAAATTTCTCCTCTGAAATTGAGAGGCTGAGGTGGGTGGATCACCTGAGGTCGGGTGTTTGAGAGCAGCCTGACCAACACGGAGAAACCCCATCTCTACTAAAAATACAAAATAATTAGCTGGGCATGGTGGCACATCCCTGTAATCCTAGCTACTCAGGCAGCTGAGGTAGGAGAATCACTTGAATCTGGGAGGCAGAAGTTTCAGTGAGCCAAGATTGCACCATTGCACTCCAGCCTGGGCAAAAAGAGTGAAACTGTCTAAAATAAATAAATAAATAAATTACACACACACACACACACACACACACACACACACACTTTTCTCCTGTTAATCTGTTTTATGTCGATTTATTTCTCAGGCCCAGCCAGGACCCTAAGAGGATGGGGGTAGAGCTTTGCTGTCCCTATAGTGTAATGTCATCGATCCACCATATAGAGTATTCCTACTGCCTTAAAAGTTCCCTGTGCGGGCCAGGCACAGCGGCTCACGCCTGTAATCCCAGCACTTTGGGAAGCCAAGGCGGGTGGATCACCTAAGGTCAAGAGTTCAAGACCAGCCTGGCCAATATGGCAAAACTCTGTCTCTACTAAAAATACAAAAACTAGCAGGGTGTGGTGGCGGGCGCCTGTAATCCCAGCTACTCAGGAGGCTAAGGCAGGAGAATTGCTTGAATCCAGAAGGTGGAGGTTATAGTGAGCTGAGATCACGCCACTGTACTCCAGCCTTGATGACAGAGTGAGACTATGTCTCAAAAAAAAAGAAAAAGTCCCCTGTGTGCCATCTGTTTATCCCTCTCTCCCCCTTAACTCCTGGCAACCACTGGTCTTTTAACTATCTTCACAGTTTTCTCTTTTCCAGGATGTCACGTCGTTGGAATCTTACAGTATGGAGCTACTATGGTTTGAATGTGTTCCCCAAAACACAGGTGTTGGAAACTTAATCCCCAATGCGACAATGTTGATGGGGTCTAATGGGAAGTGTTTGGGTCATGGGGGCTGCACCCTCGTTAATGAATTAATGCTGACCATAAAACGGCTGCAAGGTCAATCTCTTGCTCTCTCTCACCCTCTCTTTTTCCTCTCCCATGGGATGATGCAGCAAGAAGACCCTTGAAAGACACCAGCACCTTGATGTTAGACTTCTCGGCCTCCAGAACTGTGAGCCAATACATTTGTGTTCATTGTAAATCACCCAGTCTGTGGCATTCTGTTGAAGCAGCACACAACGGGCTGAGAGGGTAAGCAGCTTTTTCAGATTGGTTTCTTTCACTAATAATATGCATTTAAGATTCCGTCAAATCTCTTTTTTTTTTTTTTTTTTTTTGAGACGGAGTTTCACTCTT